GAGGAGGAGGAGGGTGAGGGTGAGGGCGAGAAGGAGAGAAGGAGGAGGAGGATGAGGAGGAGATAAGGGTGAAGGGGTGCGCGGGTTGTGAATTCTAGAGTTCAGGCATGTAGCAAGAGAAAACGAGCTCAAGAGTAAACGGATTCCATCGGGCCGCATACGTTATTAGAGTGTAATCAACGGACGGGGGTGCGATTAGACGAGTGCTCTCTAACGGATGTATAAGCAGCTTCGCGTCCGTCGAGTGCGAGAGCGGAGGATGCCCAGAATGTTTTCTCGAGATTTCAGAGAATGACGATATTAACGAATTCGTGGATAGAACGCATATGTTTGCCAGTGTTAATGTTCTGCGGTACACACATGTTATGTATGTAGTATGTTATGTATGTAGTATGTTATGTATGTAGTATGTTATGTATGTAGTATGTTATGTATTACATGGTATGTAGTTAGTTACAATCGCTATCGGGGTATTTTGTGGACCTATTTAAGTGTTATTCTCTGTTATTTTGGCGCCCACGCATGTGTGTGTTGTTGGTCTGCCCCAGTCTTTACTGGACTGTTTCAATATATATATATATACTATAAAAATTATATTATATATAAATAAATAAACAAATGTATATACATTTGTGCATGTGTCCGTGTGCGTGCGTGTGTGCGTGTTCGTGTGTGTTCGTGCACGCGCGTGCGCGTGTGTGCGGTACAAATCGTTGACACCTCACTCACTCACTCACCTATGAAGCTGAACGCCTCGTCGAAGTACTGCCGCAGGTTCTGCTCGGTGCTGTCGGACGCCGGCAGGCGGCGGTAGGCGATGCCGCGCTGCTCGTGGTGGAACGGCACGTGTGACGTCACGTTGAGCACGTGCGACACGCGCAGCGTCCGCAGCCGCTCCAGGTCGGCGGCGTCGCGTTCGTTGCCAAGGATGAGATGCGGGAGAAGCTCGCTGGCCGGGTGGTTCTCGATGTCGGCATCGCAGGTGATCATGGTATGACTGTGGTGGATGATGGGCGGCGGCTGTAGCGCGGGTGAGATGATGACGCCTGACTTGAGATCGTTCTCGCACAGCTCGCCGTGCTGGTGGTGGAACACCTGAAGGCCGCCTGTGTAAAATACAAATAACAATGTTATGTGCAATTATTATTAATATTAATATTATTATGATTATTTTTATTATTATTATTATTATTATTATTATTCATCATCAT